TCAGAAAACGCAGTGTTGGGAGCCAAGAACACCCGCCGACAACACAATAATCTGGACGCTCGATTGGCAAGGGCCATTATTCGCCCTGTGAAGACTGGACTGGACTGGACTGGTTGTGCCTCTACTGTCACGACTGACAGAGGAGAACAATTCGAATCAGAAACATACTCTTCGGTAACACGATTGCTGGGTACGAAACGCATTCGCACAACTGCTTACCATCCAGCATCCAACGGTCTAAGCAAACGATTTCACCGTCAAATTGAGGGTGCCCGGCGGACACACGAGAACCTTAATTGGTACAAGACGTTACCTCCTGTTCTCTTAGGCATCAGAACATGTGTAAGGGCAGGTATCCAATGTACAGCTGCTAGGCTTGTTTTCGGCACTACATTAAGGTTACCTGGGGAATATTCCACGCCTATTGGAGATGCATGACCTGTTTGGAGGAAGCCGTGTTGGGAAGCGTCTACCAAGCCGTTAACAGTTAGATACCTTAGAATATGCCATTTAAGAAAGCGCTCGAAGATCTTACTGGAAATGCTGGTTAGGAGGATAGGCCTTTAACTATTAGGTAAGTGTCGATTCACTTTCTCATAAATAGAGATAACAATTACTCTCTTTCACTGTTGTGGAAGGGTTCTTGTGTTCAAGCAATTTTGAAAAAGTTGGGCATATGTGGTAACCAACACGTTCGCGGGTTCCTCCAGTATACGAGGGTGGATTTCATCCCGACCCATCGAGCTGAAGGGGTTCACGCGTTTTAGTTGTTCTTCCACTTCTGAGACTGTTTACACAACGTCATCTAATGGGGATTGGTAGGTTACGGGATGGAGATGACGATGACTGACTGGAGAGGGGATGTTAAAAACTTGATCTAAATGGAATCAGAACATTTCCATCACTTCTGCTGAGAATTGCCTGGAGTACCGTCGGATTTGGATAAGGTAAGGGAAGAGGGCGTGTTTTGCCGGGTTCCTCGCATGAATTTGTACAGAACTGACCGGTCTACACGTACCCTG